GGCTTCCTCACACCCTCCTCCCACTGCTTGTTAATCACCCCTGGTGGAATACAGTAGGGAACAGCACTCGAAGAAGAAGAGGATGTTACTTACTGGTAACTGGAGGTTCTTTGAGATGCATGGTCCCTAACTGTATTCCACTCCCTGCCCTCCTTCCCCTCTGCTGCAGATTGGGGAGAAGGAACTGTAGAAGCAGTTGGTCTGCCCCACCCTTTATCCCCTCGGTCAGAGGCACGAGGCGAGTCGGGGCACATGTGCGGACCAGCAGACCCGACTTTCACATTCTCCAGTTCCGGGCACATGGTGCATGCGTAACCCACAGTGGAATGCAGACAGGGACCACACATCTCGAAAAACCTCCCGCTACGGGTCAGTAACCTCCTTACTGGGCTCCCTCCAGCTGTGGCTCATTAGAGGGCCTGAAAGAGGCCAGGGAGTCACTGAGCTTCCCGTTCTGACTGGGCCCGTATCAGCCGTGTGATGGCCTCGGAGTTCTCCATGGGGTGGGGGGCTGCACTGGCCCCTGAAGGGCATTGACACCTGTTCCTCTCATGAAGAAGGAATCCTCTAACCCTGGAGTCATGCCTGATGAATTAGCCATGCCCAGAGGCAGCTGGCACACCCAGCATTTGGCACCCAGACGGCTGCCCCTGGGTGCTGCCTCAGACACATTATTTCCAAAACTTTAAACCTATGGAAACTGCAGCCCCAGGCAAGCTGTGTGCCAAGGCTAAGCTAACCTGTGAGGAGCCCAGCATATTAGCAGTAAGTCCAAATTGTCTGGTCTCCCATCATGCAGCTGGTGCCTTGGCAGTCAAAGTGTGGCAATCCCTGTGGGAATCAGCAGGGTCTTGGCTCTGCTCACCAGTGTCCTGAGGGTTGGGCCCTGAATACTGAACACCTGCAGGCTTCTCTAAAAGGGCTGGGCGGGGGTTTGATTACTGAGCAGGCCGATCTCCAGCCCAGCTGTGTCCCCCATGACGGGGTCCGCTCAGCACAGATGGTGCCGCCTCCTGGCAGTTCTGAGGATTAGCTCTGCCAAGCTAACGCCCCCTCCAGCAGTCGCACTGCATCGCTCTGGCTTTCTCCCTCTGTGGCCCCTCTCTCGTTCCAGGCACTGTAGCCTCCCTTCAGCGGCTCGGCCCTCCGGCCTGCGTACTCCGTGGTTTCCTCAGCCGGAGTGTCTTTCAAAGTCACAGAAAGTGTCAGGTAGCCCCCATGCCCACTGCCCTGACAGTGTCACTCCATCAGTGACCCCGGCTGCCTTCCCATTCATTGCCCCAGATGCTGCTCCCTCAGCAGCTGGGAGGGGAACCGGGCCCATAGAATCATAGAATATTAGGGTTGGAAGAGACCTCAGGAGGTCATCTAGTCCAAACCCCTGCTCAAAGCAGACCAACCCCAACTAAATCATCCCAGCCAGGGCCTTAAAAACCTCTAAGGATGGAGATTCCACCCCTACTCCAGGTTCCAGTCCAGCTCCCTGCAGTGCACAGTTCAGGTGTGCTTCTCCGCCACCGTCTTCTCTCCCCACGGCTTCTTTCTGCCCTATCTAGAGTTGCAAGGTGTCCAGTTTTCGATTGGAACACCCAGTCAAAAAGGGACCTTGGCAGCTCCAGTCAGCACCGCTGACCAGGCCATTAAAAGTCCAGTTGTCCCCAGGCAGGCTGGGGTGCAGGAGGGGGTTCAGGGTGCTGGCTCCACGCAGCGCTCACCTCAGGTGCCTCCCAGGAAGTGGTGACATGTCCCTGCAGCTCCTAAGTGCAGGGTTGGCCAGGGAAGCTCTGCAAGCTGCTCCCAAGCGCTTGCTCTGCCCCTGCAGCTCCCATTGGCCGCGGATGCAGGCCAATGGGAGCTGCAGAGTCGGTGCTCAGGGGCAATGTGCGGAGCCTCCCTAGCCACCCCTTTTCTTAGTAGCCGCAGGGACATGTCACCACTTCCGGGGACGCACCTGAGGTAAGCACTGTGGGGAGCCCATACCCCGAACTCCCTCCCGCGCCCTGAGCCCCCTCCCACACTCCAAACCCCTCCTCCCCCGCCCCCCCCCCCCGCCCGCAACCCCAGCTGGAGCCCTCACCCCCCCGCACTCAAACCCACAGCCCTGAGCTCCCTCCCACTCCCAAACTCCTTCCCAGAGCCCACATCCTGCACCTCCTCCCACAGCCCAATCCCCAGCCCAGAGCCCTCACCCCCTCCCACACCCCAACCCCCTGCCCCAGCACGGTGAAAATGTGCTAGTGAGTGAGGGTGGGGGAGAGCGAGCAACAGAGGGAGGGGGAGGGGCCCTAGAGAAGGGGCGGGGCCTCGGTAAAGGGGCAGGGCAGGGCAAGGCTGTTTGGTTTTCTGCAAATAGAAAGTTGCCAACCCTACCCCTACCTCAGGAAGTGGGGCTGGCACTGTTGTGGCAGGCCCATCTGATTGGCTGATTGGGCCCACTTGGCCTAACTCAGCCCCCTGAGGGCCAGTGTGGGGAGTATGGCCCCTCACCCCACTCAGCACGTTCCAGTGGGGTGATGTTGTTCACACAACATTAGAGCTGTACAGCTAAGCGCTGCAAAGTCAATGACTGCTGAGATGGGTCTGCACTGAAACCTGCACCTTGCCCCTTGGATCGGCTCAGCCCTGTCGTATCACAGCATCTCGGGCTGTCCTCGCCGCATGAGACATTACGGACTTGCAGGAAGATTTATTAGCGGAGCACGGCTGGCAGGGTTGTTATCACTGATCACGTGTATTCTGCTGTAGTACCTGAGGAGCAGCACATGCTCCTGTCATTGAAGGCTGCGTGGAAGTTCCCCGGGGCAGAGGTGAGGCTGTGTGAGCAGCCAGAGCATTATAATTCTGCCCCCCCCCCCCCTTTTGGCTGGTTAACTCTACTGTTGCATTCAGGGAAAGGGTGGGGAATTCCTCACAGAAGGAGCGTCCATCTCTGGGGGAATGGGGTGGCCAACATTGCAAACTGAGCACTTAAATTGTAATCCATGGGATTGTTTGTGTGGATGGGAGCATCTCCCAGCCGCCCATGGAGAAGGACCCAGAGTACAGTCCTTCTGAACAGATCCAGGGCTGGCGGCCCCATTTGAGAAGTGCTCAGAATGCTTCAGGACACTAAGGAACACATGTAGCCACTGCCACGGGCTCAGGCAGAGCCTGGGCAGCACTTGAACCATGCAGAGAGGCTGCACTGGGGCCCAGCTGGCAGCACTGTGCCCCCCAGCTGCATGGAACAGGCTCCACAGCAGCCTGTGCACAGCCAGCTCAGTTTGGCGGTGGCCTGAGGACAGGGCCCCGTGCAACTGATCTGGGAGGGCGGCGGGGCACAGCCCGTCGCTTGGAAGCGGCTTGGAGGCCTGGAGAGGCGGCTGTGCGAAGATGGATCTGTCCGCTGTAAAGGGGAGTCAAGAGGGGACAGGATACAGGGTACCAAGTAGAGAATGGGATGGAGAAGGTAAATGGCACACTGCTCTCACGCACACACACACCACACACACACACACAACACAAGAGCAAGGGAAAAGACAGCACATTTACACCACTCAAAGGACATCTTGTAAGATGAGCATGTCATTATCTTGTGGAACTCACTGGCACAGGATGTCACTAAGGCCAGGAGCTAAGGAGGATTAGAGATCACAGGGATAAGGGAAACACCCATAGTTACAGGAGATGGGACCCTCCTGCTTTGGGCATGAGCCCACCACATACTGGTGGGGTCGGGAAGGCGTTTCCCTGAGGGGCAGGGTAATAAATAATTGTCCACCAGCCAGCTTCCTGCCCTGTCTTTTGAAGTAGCTGGTGCTGGCCGCGGTCAGGGAAGTGGAGCAGTGGGTTGTGGGTCTGATCTGCTTGGGCACCTCCTAGCTTCCTACTCCAGGCCTGGGCTCGTATGCCCCAGCTGCTGGGAAGCAGTGCATCCCGCTGCAGGAGCCAGTCTGAGCTGGGCACTTTGACTGGCCACCTCTGCCCACTGTTGACTTGGCTTCATCGGCCTTCCTGGGAGCAGCAGGTGCATTGCCCCATGAGCTGTTTCAGTGCTGGGGCTGCGACACGCAGAGCTGTGGGCAATGAGTGAAATCAATGGCCAGGCCTCCAGGCAGTCCCTTGTCTGAGGTGGGTTTGGAAAGCACCTGGCACACTTTGGGGGCTGCCCAGACCCCTCACAGGGCTGGGGACGTGGCAGCCAGTGCTCCCAAGAGGCTCAGAATGGGGACAGCAGGCAGCTGCGGGTCAGAGCAATGGGGCACTGGCATCGTTGTGTCTAAAGGCTCAGGACTCTGGGTCATAGAATCATAGAATATCAGGGTTAGAAGGGACCTCAGGAGGTCATCTAGTCCAACCCCCTGCTGAAAGCAGGACCAATCCCCAGACAGATTTTTGCCCCAGATCCCTAAATGGCCCCCTCAAGGATTGAATTCACAACTCTGGGTTTAGCAGGCCAATGCGCAAACCACTGACCTATCCCTCCCCCCTATTGAATAGCTCAGCAGTGCTGAGTATGGGGAGTCCATGGCTGGAATGGTGGGGGACTGGTAAGGGGCATTGCCAGAACTGTGGATCCCAGGGCTGGAATAGCAGGACAGGACTGTGGTGCCCCAGAAGAGTTCTCTTTGGGAGTTAGCACAGCACCTGGCTACGCTGTCTGGCTCTCTGCAGCACTCCCACCAGTCATATTGACAAGCACTAGTGCCCCCCCTCCCGTTTTTGATTTGCCTCTCAAAGCCGTGAATGCCTTGGAGCGCTGGCTGGCCCAAGGGATGCCTACAACTCCCCTGGCACCTGCCATCGGAGTCAGAGGGGCAGAACACAGGAGAGAAGGCAGTTGCGGAGGACAGGAGTTATGCCTGGGCAGAATGGAAGTGGGCCCAGGTCAAGCATTGTAAAGAAGGGGCAGGAAGATCAAATGTAGAAGGAAGGCAAGATTTAGAGGGCCTTGCACTGTGCTGAGCTGATGAGCTATGGACAGCACCTAACATCCTCATTTACTGCTGCCTTCATTGCAGAAAAGAGAGTGGACCTGGGACGAGAGCAAAATGCTGGTGATGCAGGATCCCATCTACAGGTAAGAGCCCCTCAAGGTGGCATGCGGCTCCCCTGGGCTGTGATGCTGCCCAGCCAGTGCTCTGGGGGTGCCTGGAGCTGCCCCGGGCTCTCGAACAGCCCAGCCATTGCCCTGGGGGTGCCTGGAGCTGCCCTGGGCTCTCTCACAGCCCAGCCAGTGCCCGGGGGTGCCTGGAGCTGCCCTGGGCTCTGACGCTGCCCACTCAGTGCCCTGGGGGTGCCTGAAGCTCCCCTGGGATGTGATGCTGCCCAGCCACTGCCCTGGAGGTGCTGGCTCTGACACACAGCCCACTGGGCCCCGTATTTAGAACCCAGAGGGGGATCATCTGCAGTGCAGGTGCTGGAATTTTAGGGCCCCCAAGGTCACCCCAGACAGGCAGCCGAATCGGAGCCAGGCCAGGAGTCACTGAGCCCCTATGAATGAGCCGCTTCGAGGGAAAACTGTTCTCTGGCAGGGATTAGAGCTGCCCACTGGTGCTCCTCCAAACCTGGGACAGGGGAGCGGAGCAGAGCGGTCCTGAACCCCAGCAGGCCTTAGGCCCACTGGGCCTTGTGTGTGAGACACGGAGCTCCTGCAGCGGGCGGGAAGGGCAGGGCTCCATGATCTGCCAGCAACCAAGGCAGGGGTTAGCACATGCTCTGTGCCAGCCCCTTGCCTTCCCCCACTGGGCACCGTCATTGCCTGACTCTTAGCTCGCCCAGGGAGCTGGCTGCTTTGGAGAGCTCCTGAAGGGCACATGCCCCAAATCCGCCCTCTGGCCCAGTGGGGAGGCCCTCAGGGGCTTCCTCCCCATTACACCCCATCACTGCAGCTGCACTGGCAGGACGGGCCTAGCGGGTGCTGCTGGCCAGGGGGAAGAGCTGGGCTACTGGGTGCTGCTGGCCAGGGTGTCAGAGCCCTGTGGGGGCAGGGCTGGACTAGCAGGTGCTGCTGGCCAGGGGGCAGAGCCTTGTGGGGGCAGGGCTGGACTAGCAGGTGCTGCTGGCCAGGGGGCAGAGCCTTGTGGGGGCAGGGCTGGCTAACAGGTGCTGCTGGCCAGGTGGGGGCAGGGCTGGGCTAGCGGGTGCTGCTGGCCAGGTGGGGGGCACTGGCAGGGCCAGGTGTGGGGAAGGGGGAGGAAACGTGACTAGGGAAGACGGCAGGTGTCCACCCAATATGGTGGCTCATTCCCTTTCACTGTGAGGGTCTGTGGGGCCCAGTCACCCGTGAGTCACTGATGAGCTGTCGGCCAGTCCCAGCTGCTCTGCTGGCTGCTGTGTGGCCCCCCCAGCCAGCACGGTGCCGGTGCTGATAGGGGTAGTGTGAAGGGTTGGGAGCAGGGGCAGACCATGCTCACCATTGAGCAGTGGATTGACTCAGCCATGAGTACTGCGAGCACCTGCCCCACAAGCAGCATGAGTGAGGCCTTCCAGCCCACTGAGCACCACAGATGGGGCTTGCATTGCAGACGTCCCTCCCTTCTCTCCCTGCAGGATATTCTACGTGTCCCACGACTCCCAGGACCTGAAGATCTTCAGCTACATCGCCAGAGACGGCTCTAGCAACGTCTTCAGGTGTAACGTCTTCAAGTCCAAGAAGAAGGTACCTGCGGCGGGGCTGAGGGGATGCAGGGTCTCTGGGAGGGTGCAGGGTGGGGTGTGGCAATGCTGCTGACTCAAACGCGCTGTGCCCATGGGGAGGTCCTGGGAATGGCTGTTTCTTGGATACCCCGGAGCTCCCGGATTCTCCCTCCAGCGCCACCACCAGCCTGCAGCGAGGCAGAGCCCCAAGAGCTCCAGGTGTGCCTTGCCTTGGAGGCACGGTAAGGCCAGAAGCGCTCAGCCCCCTCCTCACACACCCTGCTGTACAGAGCCTTCCGGCCACTTCCTCTGGGACTGGCCAGCAAGGAGCTGCCCAGCCTCCCCACAGCCATTGTCCCATCGTGCACTGGGCAGAGCCAGCAGGGTCCTCTCACTGCAGTGTGGGGTTCTTGGTACCACACCCCTGGGGTCAGCGGATTTGCCTGGCCTGGGCTGTGACAGGACCGGCTGTAGGCACCAGCAAACCAAGCACGTGCTTGGGGCGGCACAATTTCAGGGGCGGCATTCTGGCTTCGGCAGTTGCGCTCTCAGAGGGGATTTTTGTTTTTTGCTTGGGGCGGCAAAAAACCTAGAGCCAGCCCTGGGCTGCGAAGCCATCCCCCGGCTCCTCACTGCTTTTCTCCCCTCCCAGCACCTGACGTGACTCACCGCGGGCAGGGCAGAGGTGCTGATGCTGTGACTGATGGGTCAGAGGGTGCAGCGGGCAGCCAAGCTATCTCCGTTGCACAGGAGCTGCAAGGCTCGGGCTGTGCTCTGGGAGAGCTGTCATTCCCCAGGCCTTGAAGGGACTGGCCACGCCGGCTGGTTTGGATGTGCAGGGCATGAGGCTGATGTGGCTGCGAGACCCCTTAGGGCAGGACCACGCTGCCCCGGCCTGCTGTTCTCAGAGAGCTGTGGCCATCACCTCTCCCCTCCCCTCCCTGTCAGGGCAGCGGGGAAAAGCTCCCAGCTGCTCCCCCATCACCCTGCCCTGTGCACCAAGGTGGGGCTCCTCACCGAGAGGGAATGGGCAGCAATGGATCGCGCTGTGGGGCTGCACCGGGAACCATGTGATAGTTAACATCCCTGCTAGAGATCCTCGACAGCTGGGAGTCGGCACCCACCGAGCGAGGGGCGGAGCGCTTAGAATGACACCTGGAGCCGAAGCTGGACAAACGCCAGCTAAGGCCAGAGGCCAGTGGAGGCATGATCTGAACTGTGTGGAGGGCAGAGCTGTGCAGCATGGGCCAGAGGCATTCGAGACAGAAATCACCCACTGTTGCCAACTCCAGTGCAGCTTTTCTGGAGGTAGCACTCAGGGCTGAAAGTTTGGCATGTTCCTAGGAGCCTCGCTGGATCAAGGCCTTAGAGACCATGATGCCACAGGGCCCCAAGGTAGATCAGAGCTCTCCCTTTGTGCATGGACTAGGGGGTGGCTGGGACGCAGCCCTTTGCAGAGCCCTGGGCCCTCGAGCCATCCAGGGCTCCGGCTCAGCCTCAGGATGCTCCCAGGGGTTCTGGTCAGCAAAGCCTCCCATGCTGTCAGCAACTGCAGCGGTTTGGTGCGCGATCCCTACGGCCCATCATCACAGCTCCTCTCTCCTCTGCCCCAGAGCCAGGCCATGCGCATCGTCCGCACCGTGGGGCAGGCCTTCGAGGTCTGCCACAAGCTGAGCCTGCAGCACACCCAGCAGGATGCGGACGGGCAGGAGGATGGTGACAGCGAGGACATGGGTGGCCCAGGTACACTGCAGCAGGCGGGGAGAGGCTCTGTGCTCGAAACTCCTGCTGAGGGCAGGCCATGGTCTCCAGTCGTGCTCTTGGCCTGCAGGTGTTTTGTGGCTCGTGCAGGGAAAGGGCTGCCCCCCCAGAGCTGGCGGCCCCCCCGGAGCAATGTACAGGTGCCGGGTAGTGCAGGGACCCCACAGGGGTGCGAAGGCCAGCGGTGTCTGACAGTGCCATTCTGCCCCAGCTAATGGAGGGCTGTGAGAACAAGGCGTGCACACATCCTCTCCCTCTGGGATGTGAACCCAGAGATGGGAGTGGCATTTGCTAGGTCCTGGCCTTCGTCCTATGGACCTTCCGCCCTGCTGGGAGCCCGTTCACGGGGCTGCGGATTGTGCCATCTGCAAGTGCTCATATTAGACAAGCCCCTGTTGGGGATGGTCTGGGTGTGCCTGGTCCAGCCTCGACGTGGGGCAAGGGACTGGATCGAGGGCCCTTCCAGCTCTGCAGCCCTGGGATTCTCATTTGCAGCCCATAAACATTTACTTTGTGCACACGTAAAAGTGAGAACATTGTATTAAAGCAACTCCTGGCCCCGAGCAGATCTTCCGCCTCCGCCCTGGGTCTGGCCCCGGGGAATTCTCTGCTCCGAGTCGCAGTGAGCACCAAACAAGCAGCTCCTGAGCCGACAGAGTCTCGGAGGAGTTGCCTCAGCCAGGGCCAAGAAAACGAAGTTACACCGGTCACTGGGGTTACAATACGGCAGTGTGTGGGGAGGGGGCACGCTCGTCTCCCGAGGAGGCGCCAAGTGCCAGTGCCATGGGGCGGGGAGGATCTCGGAAAGGGGATATGCCCCTCCCCATATGATGGACAGAGATGGCACAGACTGGTAGAGGTGACGGGTTGGGGGCATGTGGGGTCACATGCCTCCCAAGATTGATCGGTCACATGGTGCGGTTGGACCCCCTCTCTGTGGGGCAACTAAGCCTGCAAGCTGGGCAGGGAGAGGCAGAGGCAGGAGGAACAGCTGGCAGCTGCAGGGAGATGCTGCTGCTTTCCGGGGGGGGGCGTGACTTGAGCTGTTCCAGGGTTGTGCCCCCCACTATCATCAGGCACGGGTCATCTCTGCAGACTGGATTTTGGGTGTACCACAGGTTGGGTTTGGGGGGCGTCAGCAGAGCTGTGGGGGAGGGAGGCAGCCCAGGGCTGGGGTAGAGGGGGGCTGCAGGTCAGGATTGAGGGGCATTAGCAGAGCTGGGGTGGGAAGCCCAGGGCTGGAATAACAGGGGGGCTGCGGGTCGGGATTGAGGGGCAATAGCAGAGCTGGGAGTGGGGAGCCCAGGGCTGAGATAGCAGGGGGGCTGCGAGTCAGAACTGAGGAGCATTGGCATCTCTCCTAGGCATGGTGCACGCCAGGGTTAAGCGAGTGCATTTCGTGAGGAGTCAAGCCGGAGCCAGTTTGGCGTGTTCTTCCCCATGTGCCAGGCTGGGCCCTGCATACATTTCTCTCTTGTCCATCACCCCGAGGAATGGCTTGGTTCTCAGGTCTGCTCGCCCTCCTGCTCACCCTGCCGGTGCTGAGACAAGGCGTTACATGGGACGTCCCTTAAGCACAGACCTGTGCCCTCAGGGACCCACTGCCAGGCAGCCCCGTTGCAGACTCATCGCCTCTTTCTCCCCCCCTCCTCCTCCTCCTCATAATTCTGATCTCTTATAGTGGACTGAACTCAAAACAGCATCATTAGGTTTCAGAATCATCCCAGCAGGACATATAGGGCAGTTCATACTCTCAAACCCATTGACGTCCAGTCAGACAAGGGCCCCACATACAACAGTCTCTTCACGCTGTTCCTCTAGGAGTTATGTCAGCAAATACTTTAGCTCAACTGACAGCCTCAGTGTCGGCCAGCACTGCTGCATGCTCCTGTCCTAATGCTGGCCAGGGCCCATGTATCCTGCCCTCCTGCTACCCAGTGATTGGCTGTACAATCCCTCTGCTGCACAGCTGCACTCTGTGGAAGGTGACTGCCTGCCCTTCTCAGAGGAGAGTTCTCCAGAAAGTGAGCCGAGCACAGAGTGAGATAGGGCTGCATCCTAAGCCAGCTCACAGCCTGAAATCATCATTTGGAGGGCTGTGAACCACCCACCCACCCCCGTCACAGAGGGGTGACCCGGAAGCCTACTGCTGACAATTTGAATTTTGCCGTGAACTGTTTCACCATCAATCATTTCTGCAGGAACAGCCAGTGAACGTGTTCCTCCTGCATGCCCTGTTCTCCTCCCCTGCATTTCCAGGAGCCGAGAGACCAGATAGTGATACCGTTCCTATCCAAGGTCATTGAGAGACCTGCATGCGGTGCCATCCATTCCCCGCACTTCCCCTCATCCTGGATCGCTCGTGGCTGGCCCACCATAAGTCCCTTCTCAGCTGGCACAAGCTAAAATCTCACAATTCTGCCAGCAGCACTGCTTGACCCCAGCAGTCGCACACCAGGGTAGCTGGCCCCACAGAGCCGCCCACTGATTCCGGTCCTCGACTTCCATCCAAATACAGCGACTGCAAAGATATCGTCAAACCGCCTGCAGACACCTTGCCCCCCACAGGGACTATGGCTGCCCAGTTGAGCTACAACCAGGGGCAGACATTCAGGTGTATGGACACCATGTTGGAGCCCGAACTGGCTACACTCTGCTCCAGCTAGCCAAGGGCTTTATTCCTAAGTCCATTTTGCCTGCCGGAGCACCAATCCTTTTTGATATTAAAAAAAAGGTTGGAAGCCTCAGACTATGTGTGGACTATCAAGCCCTGAATCAGATCACCATTAGAAACCGATACCCGTTACCACCAATCCCCGAGCTAATGGACTACATGAGCACTGCCTGGGTACACACAAAGCTAGCCCTCCAGGGGGCACACAACCTAGTACAAGTTAGAGCTGGGGACAAATGGAAACCCTCCATTCGAACACTCTATGGGCACTTTGAATATCTCATGATGCCCTTTGGTTTGACAAATGCTTGCGATGTTTCAGCATTTATTAATGATGTGCTCTGGAACATTGTGGGCCAATATGTGGTGACAGTGCCAAACAACACAGCACGCACATCTGTTCTGTCCAGTCTCTATATGAAGCTAGAAAAATGTGCCTTTGATAAGTCCTCGATAGAATTCCTAGAGTCATCCTATCTCCCACGGGTACTGAAATAGACCCACGCAAGATAAAGGCAGTCCTCGAATGGGGGAGCACCATGGAACGTTCATGAACTACAGCCTTTCCGGGGTTCCCAAACGTCTATCATCGGTTCATCCCAAAATTCTTGTAGCGGATCTCCCCTCTCACTGCCTTGCTCCTCAAAAACACCAGGTTCCTCCCAAGGCCCAGCAGGCCTTCAAGCAATTAAAACTTGCGTTTACCACCACTCCCAAAGTGGTCCATCCCGACACCACATAAGCCTTCATCATCAAAGCAAGAGCTTCCAACCTGACGATCAGAGCAGTTCTACCCCAAAGGTACAATCCTCAACTATTGCTGCGCCCACACGTCTCGAAATTTTGGACAAAGAACTCCTGGCAATTAAGACGGCCTTTGCAGAGTGGCACCACTATCTAGCAGAGGCCCAATACTCTGTCCAGGTGTACACCGATCATAAGAACTTCACATATCTGCATAGGGCCAAGGCCTCCAACCAACAACAACTTCGGTGGGCTTAATTCTTTCTGCACTTTGATTTTGCAATCTCCTGTCATCCAGGAACCTAAACTAGCAAGGCTGACACTTTGTCCCAGAAGGAACACTGATCTTAAAGACTTGAACCCAAAAACCTCCTCCATCCTCAAGCCTCAGAACTTTCTGGGCACGGCTCCCCACCAAGATCTGCTCACCTTCATATGATCAGCCTTCGCCCAGGGAGTCCCTCCAGTCGAGCAGAAAACCATAAGTAAGGACCCCCACGATGTCCGAGACAGGGAAACCTACTGAATGAGCATATATATGTTCTCCCTAGGCCTCCCAGGACTACAGCCCTACCAGTATGCCATGACACCCTCCCACGCCCCCGGCAGGACATTTTGGCTGTTTTAAAACTCAGCGCCTTGTCTCTCATATCTTCTGGTGGCCTCACATGCAGGCCTGTGTTGCAATGTATGTACCCACTCCAAGGCACTGAACAATAAACCCCTGGGAACCCTTGAACTCCTGCAGTCCCTCGAGACTCCCCCGGCCCCTGGACAGTCATTGCCTTAGATTTGCTAGTAGAACTACTCAAGTCCGGTGTTTTTTTTGCCACTCCAACAGTAGTGGGCCACCTCACAAAGATGGCACATTCACTCTGGCACTGGCCTAACCTTCTCCCAGGAAACTGCCCAGCTCTATGTGGACCAAGTTGTCTGCCTCCATTGCGTCCCACAGCACATGGTCTCTGAGCACGATGTGTGATTTATCTCCCACTTTATGTGAGAAGCTCTCTGGATTTTGGGCATCTGCTCCTGCCTCTCTTCCACCTACCACCCTCAGACAAAGGGTCAAGTGGAGAGAACCAACCAGATTCTGGAGCAGTATCTTCGACACTACATAAACTTCCACCAGAACAAAGGGTTCTTGCTGCTACCTCAGGAAGTGTTCACGTACAATAACGCAGAACATGCTTCTACAGTGCAAAGCCATTTTTTTTTCCAAACTATGGGTTCCATCCTTGGTTTTACCTGGAGCTAACCACAACTTCACACAACTCAGCAGCCCTAGACTAAACACAATATATGTCAAACCCAAGATGACCTAAAAGTTCACCTGAAGGACACCTAGAAGAGAGAAACAACATGTGGACTGTCAATGACAGGAGGGGCCTGCCCTTTTGCTAGGCCAGAAAGTATGGCTTTCAACAAAAAACGTACACGCAAACAGGCCATCTCATAAATTGGACTACCAGCTCTTTGGCCTCTACTGCATTCTCCAGCACATTAGCCCAGTCATCTTTGAACTCAACTTGCCCCATTCTCTCCAAATACACCCAGTTTTCCATACATCACTCCTGAAGCCCCACATTCAGGACCCATTCCCTCACCGCTCCCAACCATCACCCCACACCAGTACATGTTCATGACCATGATGAGTATATTCTCCGTGAGATCCTTGATGCCAGAATCAGACGGGTTAGACTCTGGCATCTTATGGCTTGCCAGTCCCAAAGAGCGCTCCTGGGACTCAGCAAAGAATGTCCACACTCCTGACCTGGTAAACACCTTCCACAAAAACCAGCCTGGAAACCCAGCCCCTACTTCCGAGGAGAGGGGTTGATGTGAGTGATCCTGGGCCTTGAACCTAGACCTGAGGGTCCCCAGGCAGGGCTCAGACCACGACCACCACCCATCAGCTCACCTGAATGATTGCAGAAGTGGGCCAGCAAAGCTCTGCTTCACAAAGGGCCCCACAAAGCTCCGGATTGGGGCAGACTTCTGCCCCACTGATTGGCTGGGATGCCCTACTTAAACCAGAAACAGGAAGTTGTCTGAGCAACTAGGTCAATCCCTGGCTGACTGCTGCTGCACTGTCCCCTGCCTAGTGCCCTGAACCTTGCCTCCCAATCTGTTCCTGCCCCCTGCCCTCCTTATCCCAGACCCCACCTCTGCCCAGTTCCTGCCTCACTCCTGGTCCCTGCTCCTATGCCCTACCCCTGATGCTGACTCCGACTTCAACCCCTGGCTTGCACCTGACTGTCTCTGGCTCTGACCCCTGGCTTGGCACCTAACTCTGGCTCTGGTTCCAGGCCCAGTCTATCCACTAGGTCTGACTGCCCATGCCCCAGTCCCTGCAGGCACCTTTTCCGAGCAGTTATGCCGTGTCACAGCAAACACTGAAAACAGGATACTGTGGGCCAGCATAAAATGACTGGAACTGAGCATCAGATAACAGCAAGACTGTGGCACCATGGCATTATCAGCACCGCACCCCACGGAGCTGGTCGGGAATTTAGCCAACACTGCCCCCAGCGCTCCCTCTGCTGCGTAGAATGCAGGGGTCTCACTGGAGTGGCAGGGGCAGTCCGGGGGCCCTACAGGCTTGGGGGAAGGCATCCTGTGGATTGACATGCTATATGCCAGGGGTGGCCAAACCACGGCTTGTGAGCCACATCCGGCTCTTTTACCGTTAAAGTGTGGCTTGCAGAGCCCCCCATTCCCCACCTACCAGACTGGGGGGAGAGGGGCCTTGGGGATTCTGCCCTGCAGCAGGGTGGTGGGGCTAGGAGCTTCTGCCAGAGGTGACTGGTGCCTGCTGAGAGCGAGGGGGGCACAATTTAAAGGTTAGGCCTCCACTCAACAGCTTGAGTCACTCGCTCCAGGCACACCCTCCCTCTTACCCTCAGCGGCCCCACCCTGCAGCTCCCAGGTGTTAGCTCCACATGGAGAGGCCCCAGCAAAAGCAGCAGTTCTCCCTGCAGCTCCCAGCTCTTAGCTGCTGCCTCTCCCTAGGCCACAGCCCCCGGTTGCCAGCTCCAGCAGCTGCCATGCAGGGAGGGGGCCCAGCGGCACCATGTGACCAAGTGGGGCTAGCAAATCCTGGCAAAAATCGAGGGTGGGGGATGTGACCCCACATGACCCCCCCTGTGTCACCTCTGACTTCTGCCCAGCAGAGAGGTGGGGCTCAGGGCTTCAGCCCCATAGGGCGCGTCAGCCAGGGCTGCCAGCTAGGGATGCGTGACCCATGGCAGGTGTTCAGGTGCTTCCCCCACAAGGAGGAATGGGCCTTGTTTGCTAGCCAAGCCCACATTCTCTCAGCCCCGGGGAGCTGGACTGGGGCAGAGTTGCTGTTGTCCCATCTCACCTCTGACCCTGCTGTTGCTGCCCCCTCCCAGCCTGCCACCCAGCCAGAGCTGAGAAGGCAGCTGTCCCCGCAGAGGAGACCGATATCGACGCAGTGGAGATCCCTCCACCAGGGAGCAGCACCCTGGAGTTCAGCCGGGGGGTGACGGACCTTGACGCCGTGGGGAAGGACTTGGGACACTCTCCGGACACCAAGGTACGCCAGCCCCAGCCAAGAGCAGCTGTGCCTCAAAGGTGGCCCTTGAGCCCTGATACAGACCCAGGGTCCCCGCAGATAGCATGGCTTCCCAAGAGTGTGTCCAAGCGGCATTGCTCGGTGGCTTCAGGGGCAGGACGTGGGTCTGTGCCTGGGGGTGCCCTGCTCTCTCCCCACAGCAGCCCCAGAGCTCCCCACACTCTCCCCCTGTGGCTCACATGGGGGTCACTGCCCCCCCACCCAGCTCAGAGAGACCTTTGGGTTTCATGCTGCCTTCCAGTGGGGTAGGGAGGGAGCTCATGTCTAGATATGGGGCTGGAACAACCTGTGGCAGCTCTGCGGGATGATCAGATGGGGGGGCCACACCGTGATCCTGAAGCTGGTACAACAGCACGTGTCCTTGTGGCGGCAGCTGGCATCCCCCCCACTCTGCCAGGGCATTAACAAGGGGAGCCGAGGGGCTGGCCAGACCCCACAACATGGGAAATGCCTCTTCCATGAGCCGCCCCACAGACCAGGGCGAATTGCCTTTGCTGGGGCCCTGGAGGAGGCCAGGTTCACTCCCCTCTGTGCACTCCCACTTCAAGAGCTAGTGTGTGTGCCCCACACCCAGAGAGGGGGAACCTAGGCACCACGGTGTCTCCAGCAAACACACACCTTTCCCCATTGCTGGTCAGTGCAGAGCCCTGAAACCTCCGGGACATGCTGAGCCCTGAGGACACAGGCTGTGGCTCTTCAGATGGCAGACCCAGCTCTGGTCCCTGAGGGTGGCAGTGCCCGGCTCCTGCTGCGGGGTGTGCTGGGCAGGGGCAGCGCAGGGTGGGAGTCCAGCTGTCATGCTCCGTTACTCTCTGTTAGGGGCAGTGGCCATTCCTTGATCCCATCTCTCCAACTCCCCCCCCCCCTCCAGTTAGCCCCCCGACAATAAAAGAAGCTCATAGTCATTGGCTCCCCCTCATCCTGTTCTCACCCAGAGCTCCCAGCGCTGAGCCTCTCTCCTGTGTCCTGCACTGCTGCGGTCCAAACACAAACTAGTCCCTGTGTCGCCCCCTCACTCCCGTTGGCAGTGGCATGTCCTGGGAACGGAGCAATGTTAGTTTCCCAGGGAAAGCGGCAGGAGTGGAGCTGCATCTCCCTCTGCCTGACCACACAGCCCGTGCAGGCAGTGCACAGCTGCTGGCAGGAGAGGATCGCCTGGTGCATTAACCCAGCACATCTGGGCATTGTCAGAGGCCAGCAGAGCAGAGCCGCCCTTTACCCAGGAGTTCTGCTTGTGCTTCAGAGACCAGGCCACAGCCACTCCTCTGTTGGGTCCCCAGTGCAGCCTAAGACATTGGCTTTCCACTCGCCCTGCAGAGACTCCAAGCGTCCCAGAGCCGTCCCTGTGAGCAGGCAGCCGTGCTGCTAACTCGCCTAGGCTGTGGTGCTGCACATTTGTCCCACCCGCTCAGCCCTGCCAAAGCTGAGGCCAGGTCCTCGTCCAGGGCACATCAGGATTGAGTGAGTGCCATGGCGAGGGAAGAGTTGGCCAGAGCACCATCTTGCAAGGGGGTTTCAGAGAACCAGGGGCTCCCCAGGATGATAAACCTCTCCCCTCCCCAGTCCCTCTTCTCGTAGATCACACAGCACTGTACAAGCATGCCCTAATTCAGTCACACAAACCCCATCCAAGGTACATGAGTACCCACTGGAGTGTGGGGAAACCAAGGCACGGAGCGGGCCGTGGCTCACATGACAAGTTGGTAGCAGTACTGGGAATAGAAGCCAGACGTCCTGGTTCCCAGTCCCCTTCTCTAGCCAGTGGGCCCAAGTCCTTCCCTGTCAGCCGGCAGTGCTCTGGCACACAGAGAGGTATTGATGAGGGGATGGTCCCATCGCTCCTGCCTGCCCTGCATCCCCTAGAATGGCCACCCTCGGGGCATGAGAGTTGAACAGTCGGGGTGGAGGTGCATGGGCCCCATGCTCATGGCACCGACGTAGCCATACAGCTGGCTATGTGGTTTGTCTGGTAGGGAAAGCGCCATGTGAATTCCCAGCTTACGAGCACGCGGCTCTGCTGGGCTCTGCCAGTGGCCCCCCCTCCCCCCATCATTCCTGGCTCTCCCTTTCCCTCGTGGGGAGGGGGGGGCGGAGCCTGCAACCACCGCACTGTGCTGCTTAGAACCGCTCTCCCAATGCACCAGAGGCTGTGGAGCCCTTCGCACTGGTGCTCCCAGCAGTGAGCCTTTTGTGAGTAAGGCCACGTGCATTGAGGCTTGACACCTGTGTCATTAGTGGGGTGCCACGGGGTCAGGGGAGGTAGGACCCATATGGCTCCTCCGAGGCTGGGGGCCATCTGTTCCACCCAGGGCGGGGCAGGGCAGTCCCACTGCTGCCCAAAGTGCTGGAGGAGAGAGGAATGGTGCGATATAGCATGTCACGGAGCCAGCAGAGTGAGCTTCTGTGCGGCTGGCATGAAGAGCCAGGGCACTGCCTATGTGATCCAGGCCTGCTTGGTGTGGCACTCTGTCCCACTCTTGTGGCACCTATACCAGCTAGAGCAGCGGTTCTCAACCTTTCCAGACTACTGTACCCCTGGATCTCGAGCCCTGCTGCCTGGTGCTGAAGCACGTAACAGCATTACAGGGCCCCCTATGGTGTGGTGTCCACCCCTAATGCCTTGTGGGGGAAACCCAGCACTTGTGACCCCTCTAAACCCATCCTGCAACCCCCAGGTTGAGAACACTGACCTAGATGAGTTGATGTACTCCCTGGAAGACCTCTGAGTACTCCAGGGGTGCTCCTGGTTGAGAACCACTGAGCTAGAGAGTGATGAGCTAGCTACAGCATTGGCTAAAAGAGCTATGTTTGATCCCGGCCACCGACAACTGAGTGTGTCGGCATTACACATAGCCGTGAGACACCAAGAGCCTGTCTGGGAGCCAGTCCCCAGGGAGCATCTTGCCAGTGGCACCAGCTCTTGCCATTTTATCGCTATTTGGTGTGTTTGTAAAGCCCCAGCTCCTGGAGGCCCATGAATGCGTGACAGTCTCAGCTTCCATTTGTTCAGAAGAGGAAGTGTCTGGCCTCCTGGGTTGCAGAAGAAAGTCAGAAAACCCAACCCAGGGAATCCAAGGGCTCACAAGCCAGAAGGCGAAGAAACGGGTTGCTGAGGAGGGCTCACACAGGGAGCTGCCTCCTGCCCCCACCCCTGGAAGCTGCTGGCAACTAGGGCAAGGCTGTGAGCCGAGGTGCAAATCTCTGACCTCCACCCACCCCAAGTGAGGTTGGGGCCGCCCTTCTGACTCTGGCTTTGGAGCATGTGTTGGTGGCCGCTGGCTCTGTGCACTCAGGTGACTCAGGCTGAGAGCGTCGTGCTCAGGGCAGCTCACCGGGCCGAGTGGCCGTTCAGGGGGCAGAAGGATCCTGCTGGGAGCACCTGCTGGAGCAAAGTCAGCCTGAGCCACAGAGCCGGCCCCAGTGGCAGGGAGAGCGAGCACCTAGGTATCACAGTCTGTCACTGTCTGCCTCCTGCTGGCCTGCCCAGTGGGCTGCTCTGCGCCCAGCTGGAGGACAGAGCTGCTGCCGAGGAAGGTCAGTTCCTTAGGCTCCTAGCTTGCACTGAAGTCGGAGGTGTAACTGGGGTTAGAGACTAAGCTCCCTACGGCTGTTCTGGCTCCAATGCATTAGCCTACAGCTGTGTGATGCTTTGGAACTGCAGAGCTGTGTGACTGAATCATAGAATCATAAAATATCAGGGTTGGAAGGGACCTCAGGAGGTCATCTAGTCCAACCCCCTGCTCAAAGCAGTACCTAATCCCCAACTAAATCATCCCAGCCAGGGCTTTGTCAAGCCAGGCCTTAAAAACCTCTAAGGATGGCGATTCCACCACCTCCCTAGGTAACCCATTCCAGTGCTTCACCACCCTCCTAGTGAAAAAGTTTTTCCTAATATCCAACCTAAACCTCCCCCACTGCAACTTGAGACCATTACTCCTTGTTCTGTCATCTGCTACCACTGAGAACAGTCTAGATCCAACCTCTTTGGAACCCTCTTTCAGGTAGTTGAAAGCAGCTATCAAATCCCCCCTCATTCTTCTCTTCTGCAGACTAAACAAGCACAGTTCCCTCAGCCTCTCCTCATAACTCATGTGCTCCAGCCCCCTAATCATTTTTGTTGCCCTCCGCTGGACTCTTTCCAATTTTTCCACATCCTTCTTGTAGTGTGGGGCCCAAAACTGGACACAGTACTCCAGATGAGGCGTCTCCAATGTCGAATAGAGGGGAATGATCACGTCCCTCGATCTGCTGGCAATGCCCCTACTTATACAGCCCAAAATGCCGTTAGCCTTCTTGGCAACAAGGGCACACTGTCGACTCATATCCAGCTTCTCGTCCACTGTAACCCCTAGGTCCTTTTCTGCAGAACTGCTGCCTAGCCATCCGGTCCCTAGTATGTAGCAGTGCATGGGATTCTTCCATCCTAAGTGCAGGACTCTGCACTTGTCCTTGTTGAACCTCATCAGATTTCTTTTGGCCCAATCCTCGAATTTGTCTAGGTCCCTCTGTATGCTATCCCTACCCTCCAGCGTATCTACCACTCCTCCCAGTTTAGTGTCATCTGCAAACTTGCTGAGGGTGCAATCCATGCCTTCCTCCAGATCATTAATGAAGATATTGAACAAAAGCGGCCCCAGGACTGACCTTTGGGGCACTCCGCTTGATACTGGCTGCCAACTAGACATGGAGCCATTGATCACTACCTGTTGACCCCTACGATCTAGCCAGCTTTCTGTCCACCTTATAGTCCATTCATCCAGCCCATACTTCTTTAACTTGCCAGCAAGAATACTGTGGGAGACCATATCAAACGCTTTGCTAAAGTCAAGGAAGAACACATCCACTGCTTTCCCCTCATCCACAGAACCAGTTATCTCCTCATAGAAGGCAATTAGGTTAGTCAGGCATGACTTGCCCTTGGTGAATCCACGCTGACTGTTCCTGATCACTTTCCTCTCCTCTAAGTGCTTCAGAATTGATTCCTTGAGGACCTGCTCCATGATTTTTCCAGGGACTGAGGTGAGGCTGACTGGCCTGTAGTTCCCTGGATCCTCCTTGTTCCCTTTTTTAAAGATGGGCACTACATTAGCCTTTTTCCAGTCATCCGGGACCTCCCCCGATAGCCATGAGTTTTCAAAGATAGTGACCAATGGCTCTGCAATCACATCTGCCAACTTCTTTAGCACCCTCGGGTGCAGTGCATCCGGCCCCATGGACTTGTGCTCATCCAGCTTTTCTAAATAGTCCTGAACCACTTCTTTCTCCACAGAGGGCTGGTCACCTCCTCCCCATGCTGTGCTGCCCAGGACTGCTAAGGGTTAGTGTTGTGATTAGCTGTTAATGCTGTTCTCGCACACAGCAGGTCTCGCTGGTGTGCACTGTTGTGGGACTTAGGCACTATATACTCATGCAGGTCTGGGCTACAGTCCCTGGCCCAGAGAGCTGACAATCGAAGGGTCAGCCAAGAGTAACAGATGGCTACAGACAGACGGGGCTGTGGGAGTACAGGGAATGAGGCACCTACCAGCCCGGCCCGCAGGGGTCTCAGCTCGGCCAGGAGTGAGTTACTAGAATGTCTGTAGCATGCTGAGGGGCAGCACACAGAGTGGATCAGGCTTTGCTTTTCTCTATATTTTCCAGGACTCCCTCCACTCCGAGAGTATCCTGACTGCATCGCCCAAGCTGCTGCTCCCCTCCTCCTCCCAGCTGCCGGACCTGGGGACCCCTCTCTCCGCTCATCACCAAATGCAGCTTCTCCGGCAGCTTCTGCAGCAACAGACGCAACAGACACAAGTGGCCATGGCCCAGGTGCTGCCAGTGTGGTTGTTAGAGCCCCGGCGTGCCGGGGCCAAGCGGGGCTGTGCAGGCAGCAGTGCATGCGCAGGGGGCCATGTGGAGGGGTTTGTGTGAGAGGTTGGTGTGCTGGGAAGGGTGGGGTGGAAATGGACACGGGCGGATAAGCCAGAAGTGGCAGAGCCCTGGAGGCACAGCCAAGGAGCTTGGCCTTGATGCAGGAAGGGAGGAGCAGGCTGAGGAGGGGTCTGAAACCGGGCGGAGGTGGAGGGAGGGTAGCTGTGTTCTGAATGGCTGCAGGGACAAGTGGACGTTGGGTTATGATGATGCGGGCGGGCCTCGGTGTGGGCCTGGACAAGGGGATAGGTCTGATCTTAGCCACGGTTGAGGGGTGGGAGTTGGGTATCACAGGAGGAGAGAGCCCGAGGTCACCCTGGGTGGAGGAAGGGAATTCAGCAGGGACAGCCCGGGGGGAGGGAGAGGACCTGGCAGATCCAGTTGGGCCACGGCACCAGTCAGTTTGAGGGGAGGCAGCTCAGAAGAGAAGTCAGGGAGACAGCAAGAGCTGTGGGACTGAAGGAAGGAGTAGAGCTGCCCCCCATACGCACTGTGCCAGGGGCATCAGGGAACCCGCAGACATCCTTCCCCAAGCCACATGCCCTGCCCCCGGCCCAGCTGCCCCTGCAGTGACTCACCCATAGCGTTCCGGGAACCTCACTGCACTGCAAGCCAATCCCCTGTGCTATGGGCAGGGGCAGGCAGCACCAACAGCCCCCGGCACTGCTGGCCCCACTGTGTGGAGGCACACGATGGGATGCCACATCCCAGGGGCCAGAGGGGCACACAGCCTAGCTCGGCCCGGCCAGCTTACTAGGACTGACAGTCAGAGGCTGGCTAATGTGTGCAGAGTGCACTGATCCCACTGTCTAGGTCTCACACCTGACAAGCGCTGAGGGCTTGTTTGCTCTGTGGGGTGTGTGGGCCAGTGAAATATCATGGGTATCAACTGCCCTTGTCGCCTGAGCTGGGGACAGGGTCCTGGCTACAACCCTCATGCAGAGCTGTGCAGCTCAGCAGGAATGTAAATGCAGTGAGGAATTGTCCAGACTGCCGTGGCCTGGGCTGGGCTAGGCAGAGCTCTTCTGGAGCAGGGCCCTGCATTCTCTGGTGCTCAGGGTCGGCCATGGACCTAGAGGTCAGGGGACGCTGCTGCGGGGGGGAAATCAGCTCCAGGTCTCAGGTCTCAATGGGTCTGTCTACTCTGCAGTTAAAACCCCGCAGCTGGCCCATGCCAGATGACATGGGTTGCAGGGCCAGGCAAAGGGGCTGTTTGCAGTGTAGGCATTTGGGCTTGGGCTGGAGTCTGGGCTCTAGGACCCTGTGAGGTGAGAGGATGCAAGAGCCCAGCATCTACATTGCAAATTTAACGGCCCTGCATGGAGCCCCAGTCAGCTGGCAGGGGCCAGCCACACACAGGCTGCTGCCTAACTGCAGTGTGGACATACCCAGAGACCCTTGTTTCACTGGAGGCTCCAGGGAGCCATGGTTAGGGTTCCAGGGAGAGTCTGTCTCAAGATGAGCTAGCCTGGCCCTCACCTGCAGCTGAACGGCCTTTGAAAACCACGGGGCTGCCCCTCTACGTGGGGACGGGCAGCTGTCCCAATAGGAACTTCCAGCTCCCCTGCTCCTGACAGCATGCCTTGGCGCCTGCAGCTTTGAACTGCAATTCCATCACTGCCAGCAGGTGCCAGTGCTCCTTCTTCTCCACCCAGTCTCAGCACAGCCTCTGTGGGAGTGTCTCTCTGCTTGGGCCAGACAAATCTGCCCCATGGCTGGGAGCCCTAGTGTGAAGAAGAAGGGGCTCCATGCTGGATGCAGTGTGGACAGGGGACAGATGCTAGCATGCCCCCTGTCCCATGCTGCCCTGTGGCTGTGGGGTTCCTGTGGGACTGGACTGGGGAACGGACTTACCAGCACTCTGGGGAAAGTCTGGAAGGGCTTTGTGGGTCCAGGACTTCCACAGACCAGTATAAATCTCTTCCTCCTTCTTCTGCTTGCTGCCCCAGAGCAGAGCAGCTGGCGATGTCCCCAGCCCAGGGCAGCAGCTCCCATCACTGGGGATGGCTCCCAGGGGAGAGTCTCTCTGGGCTGGGCCTGAGCTCCCACTCTGCAGACAGCCACCCCTGTGCCTGGCTGAGAGAACAGGTGGCTAAGGGAATGGGCGTCTGACTGGAGACACTGGAGGCTGGGGCTGCGGGCAGGGTGCATGAATCTCACTCTAGCCTGAAGCTCCAGGCTCAGACCCCTGGCTCGGGGCAGGCAGCCTGGCCTGGCACGCACCCACTCGCTGTGTCTCCGTGTCTGTCCGGCAGGTTCACCTGCTGAAGGACCAGCTGGCTGCAGAGGCAGCAGCTCGGCTGGAGGCCCAGGCGCGCGTGCACCAGCTCCTGCTGCAGAACAAGGACATGCTCCAGCACATCTCGCTGCTGGTCAGGCAGGTGCAGGAGCTGGAGCTGAAGCTGTCAGGAAGCAACACCAGTAAGAGTTCATTCCCCAGACTTGCTGTGACCCCCAGCCAGCACAGGGACCCAGGAGCACAGCATGGAGGTGTTTGCTGCTGGGCCCTGTGCTGATCCACCAGGGCACAAGGGACTCCCTATCCCTTCCCATTCTCCCCCGCTCCGGTGGTGTGCCTGTGCCATGGGCCCCAGCACTCCCTGGAGAGGGGATCCCCATGAACGCCAGTGGGAGGGGTCGCCACAGAGCCGTGCCCAGCAGCCCAGGCTGAGCACAGACCATGGCCAGGGTGGGCGTGCCATGCATACATCTCAGCCCAGTTCCCAGGGGTCAGTGCCCCGACTCACTGCCTGACTCAGGCCTGCAGTGACCACATCTCCTTGTGGGGTGGGGGGTGAGACCCATGGTGACTAGACAGCCCCACCCCTTTGCACCCCAGGGTTTGTGGCATGCAAGAGACTGCCCCATATCTCCTGGTCCCAGCACCAGGATGCCCAGGGAGAGAGAATTTATAATGGGCACCCTGCGGGGAGAGTCCCTGCGTGTACTTCCCTCAGCTCTGCAGGGGCAGCTGTGTGCGCACGTGGGTGCACGGGCTAGGTATTATTGGGACAGGGCCGTGTGCACAAGTTAGTAGTGTGGAGGGTGATTGTGCGTGGTGGGAGTGCGGGGGCTGGGTGTTATTGGGGCAGAGCCATGTACACATGTTGGGGGTGCGGGTGTGTGGTGGGTGTGTGGGGGCTGGGTGTTATTGGGGCAGGGCCATGTACACATGTTGGGGGTGAGGAGTGGTGTGCGTGGGGGCTGGAGAGGGTTATCTTTGAGGGCTGTCCATGCTTTTCCCTGTTGCTGTTCGTTCAGCTAGATCCCCACCTACCCCTCCACCCTCCATCAGCTTCAGTTCCCCATGTGAAAAGCACCGCGATCGGGATGGGCAATGGGGCTCTTGGCCATGGGTTGAGATCTAGAGTAGGCCTGTGTGCCTGGGAGCTGTCTGCCAGCCTGTATGAGGGGTCAGTGATGCCCTAGGCCATGCCCGCTCCGATTGCCCTCCTCTTTTCCAGTAGGCTCCCAGGACAGTCTGCTGGAGATCACCTACCGCTGCAATGCCCTGCCGGTGCTGTGCGACCCCACCACCCCAAAGCCTGAGGACCTCCACCTGCCGCTGCTGGGCCCTGGCCCTGACTCCACCCATGCCCTGGGCAGCCCCATAGGTAGGAGTGACTGCTTGGTGAAGCTGGAGTACTTCCGCTTCCCCCCAGGCGCCACGTCACCGTCAGAGCCTCTCCTGGGCAGCCTGGAGCTCATCAAGTTCCGTGAGTCGGGCATTGCCTCAGAGTACGAGTCCAACACAGACGAGAGCGAGGAGCGCGACTCGTGGGCCCAGGAGGAGCCACCGCGTCTGCTCAACGTGCGGCACACGCAGGGCCTGGGGGACAGCCTGGACGATGAGATCGCTGTGTAGGAGGGTGGCTGTCTCTAGACCGAGACAAGGAGGAGATAGTCCTGGGGAGGGAAGCAGCTGCTGGAGGCCAGGGCTCAGTTCAGTGCTTTAGGCCTGGGTAGGCAGTAAAAGCTCCCTCTCTGCCCCTGTGGCAGGACAAAGTCAGGGCTGCGCTTCCTGCAGCCCACACCATCCCAGCAGGCTCTCAGAGCTGTAAGTGCATGCCCTGGCCTTGCTGTGAGAGAGAGAGGAGATTGAGTGAGCACCCATCCAGCACAGCCACAGAGCACACAGGAGCAGGCACAGGCACATACCCTCCTTCGATGTGCAGTCACGTCCGCAGGTGCCTCACCGCGCTGCCCCAAGGCTCTGCCAGCCTGGTGTGCCAGCTTCTGCTCTGACCAGACTCCATAGGCTATGGCCAACGATGTGTGGCTGTACATCCATGGCACAGCTTTGTCCTCTGTAATGGAACTGGTGATATTTTCGTTAGCCATAATATCTATAACCCTTTTCTGAATCCTACCAAGCTCTTGGCCCCATAACATCCTGTAGCAAGGAGTTCCACATGCTCATTGTCCATTCTGGGTAAAAATGAAGAATTTCCCTTGATCAGCGTTAGATTCATTGCCTTTCATCATCAGTGTACCTCCCCTGGTTCTCACTGAGACGGAGCTCCCACCCGCTTTCTTATCCCATTCAGTCTTTGACATGGCCCTGTCATGTCCCCTCCTATTCATCCCCTCTCCAAACAGAGCAGAGTCAGGGGGAATGGTCACAGGAGCTCAGCGTACGGGTAACTCTGCTCCCAGTGGAGTCGAGCTATAGATTTCAGTGAGAGGCCACCCAGCCCTTGAAACTCCCCGTCCTCAGATGGAGCCTCTCGGCATTGTGGGCACTTACCTCTGAGCCTCCTTCAATTCCTGGGGAACCAGACCTGACCTCACTGTTGCAGGTCAGGGAATGCCCCATATCTGTATAACAGATCCTAGCTCTCTGAACTCCCCACACAGCCGGTGGCAACAGAGCACCTCCCAGCCGGCACTGTATTCATGCCCACACACCCCTGGGAGGCCAGGCAGGGCTATTGCCCGCTGGACAGATGGGCACTGAGGCACAGAGCCCAAGTCTGTGCAGCACAGGGAATTGAACCCAAGTCTCCCAGGCAGGTGCCAGCCTTGCTCTCCATGGCACCGGTTTTGGAGTTGGTCTCCATCCCAGTCCTCTGCAGCTGTTCTGCACACTGCTGAGTGACGAGCTGGCACACTCGCTGTTCCAGTCATGCCTGGGTCGAACCTGAGCCATTCAGATCCATTTCAGCCCCCCGGTGTGAAGGAATCACAGATTCCATGCTCTTGTCGAGACACTTTCCCCTGCCGTCACTCCAGCCATTCTCCTCACTCAGCTAGGGCTTGCTGGCCTTCCTAGTCTTGACTAACCTCAGTATTGTGTCATCTGCCAGCACGCTCTTTCCTTGTCCCCAGCTCCCTAGGGGTGTGCAGCGAGAGCGGAGCGGCAGCAGGAGATCCCAGCAGCAGAGCAGCTCAGCAGCACTGGCCTCTTCGTATTTTCTTTTTCCTTAAGTAAATCCAGGGAAGTGAAATGCCAAAGCTGATGTTAATGCAGTGATGAAGTCAGGAAATTCCACAAGTTCAGGGAGCCGAACTCTTCAGTGGCATGTACCCCCCACTCTCCTGGCAGGGCAAAGTCCCAGGGCTTTTGCTTCACATTTTGGGCAGATTGGCTGCTCTGGCTCCCTAGCAGATAGGCGCCACTTCCTCCTGTTTGCTCTCAAGCTGTCTGGTAAGTTCTCCAGGCTGTGCAGCCTGGCTGGGTCAATGCTGCGGAGAAGGCTGTACTGATGGGCCTTGCTGTCATGGGAGTGTTTGCTTGCTGTCCCCATGGGGCTTTGTTAACATTTGATTGGAGGGGCAGAGCAGATTCTCAGGGAAAAGGCTTTGCTCGGAGGGCGCGAAGGCTGAAAGTGCCTGTAGGTGACTAAGGGTACATCTCTTACCGGAGGGTCCGGCGGCAGGCAATCGATTTTCTGGGATCGACTTATCGCGTCTAGTGAAGACGCGATAAAATCGATCCCTGATCGCTCTGCCGTCGACTCCGGAAATCCACTGCGGCAAGAGGCGGCAGCGGAGTCGACGGCAGCGCGACAGCGGTCGACTTTCCCCTTCCTCACAGCCAGGTAAGTCGACCTAAAATACGCAACTTCAGCTACGGTATTCACGTAGCTGAAGTTGCGTATCTTAGGTCGGACCCCCGCTGTAGTGTAGACCTAGCCTCAGTAAAGATTGGCGATCTCAGAAAGCAGACGGGAGCGAGTTCGTTAGGATGGATTGTCTTGCTGTAGCACCCAGGGCCCCAGACAGGATCGGGCCCTGTCGTGGCTGCATTGGCTATGCCCTCAAGAGGTGGCAGACCGAAAAGATGGGAAATTGACAAAAGCAGGTAGAATAGGACTCCAAAGGCAAGCAAATGGGTTGGATGAGGGGCTCCAGCAGTGCCCTACCCACAGATGTGTATTCACTGATCTAAAATTGTTTAACCACCCCCTCTTTCCCCTGACCCCTCTCTGGGGCTTGGAGCTACCTCCAGTCGCTGCCTGCTCTCAGCTTTTCCCTGACGATTCGCTGTGATGCCATTAGCCCTGACACTAGGGCAGGGCCATGTGCAACCTTCCCCGCTGGGCCTCCTGACCATCCCCGGAGTCCTGCGAGCCTTCGGGGTTCAGAGCTGGCTGGAGAGCAGCTTCTCTCTGGAGCCACTAATAGGGAGAGCGCAGTGAGCAGGGGACCTGGGTCTGTCTGCGGGAGGGTGAGGGGTGAGTTCACGGGGCAGTAGCTGGTGGGTTCCAGGCGTGTGTGGCAGTGACACGGGAAGTGTGTGTGGGGGGGGTGAGTGCAGAAGTGCTGGCCATGAAGGGAGCAGTGGAGTGGGGGAGTGAGGGCAGGGCTTGAGGAGTGGAATGGAGATAGGATGGGAATCCTAGACTGGCTAGGAAGATTCTCCAGCCTCCGAGCAGAGACGGGCGAGAGCAGGGCTCCAGAAGAGCAGCACGGTGATGGGAAGCAAAGGCTGCTACATCCTTGCCCCTCCTGGCCCCACCTTGCCTTTCCTCACCCTCACTGGGCCCCAGGCATTGCCTGCTGGGCCCCCCTCTCCTGGCTGCCTCTGCAGAAAGCCCAGGCTCGACATCCGCATCAGCTGTGCTTGTTCTGTCTGAGTTACCGGGCGCGTGCAGTGCGAAATCCAGAGCCTGCAACCCCAGGGCAAGGCCACGGGACAGCGTGTCCCCAGCACTCCAGGTTCACTTACAGCACTCTCAAGGGCAGCTGCGAACACTTCCCTCCGCTCCCAGGGACTGACGCGTCACCATAACATGGTCGATCAGCTCACCCACTAGCTACTGGCTGGCCGGAGGGGCCCCCGGCTAAGGGCCATTCTGCCCATCTCTGTGCCCAACACGTGCTGTGTCTTACAGCCAACAGTGAGAGCTGCACTGAGTGGTGGAAGCCAGGACCTAAGGAAAGGCACCAGTCATGTTGAGGTTTCCTGAGGGTGGTTCTGGCTCTATTAGAGTAGATCTAACTGGCCTTTTAGACTTGTATCACCACCAGGACAGATGGAGCCAAAATCTCCAAAGATTCTGCTTCCAAGTGCTCAATGAAAATCTGTGATAAATCATGCAGGTTTCTGCAGTCTGGTCAGCTGCCCGCGTTCAGAACTCAGGAGGCAGGCTCCAGAGACCATGAGATTGGCTTTCAAAAATAACTGGGGCTCTTTTTCTTTGCTTTCTGATTTCTGAGCCTTTAGGGGGCACTTGGGTCCTGTTTTCGGGCTTTTCTCCACAACTGCGAGGGCTAGAAACTTGCTTTTTTTGGTAAAGGAAAGCTGAGGTTCTCGCACCATCACATGCTTCCAGGAGCTGGAGCTTTACAACTCAGATTGTGAGAGCTGACAACTCTGTTTGTGCACACAAATGCACTTGCAAATGTGGATTTTTGTTTATGCAAAACGATGCCCTTGCCAGTGCAGTTTTTTGCACCTGAAAGGAGGGGATACACTTACAAGCAATTGAGGTTTGTGTGCATGCAAATAAATGTGCTCTTAGCTACTGTGAGGGCAGTTTGGGATAACCTTTGGGAATGTGGCCCTGAGGTTTTTGGAATGCTCACTTGCTGGAGGGAGTGTTTTGAAAACCAGTTTCTTGATTACAATAATTAGTTGGCTTTTGTTTACCCAATTTCTGTGCATTATTTTGATTTTGAATGATGACTTGAACATGCAGGTAATTGAAGTCTGTGGGGGCGTGAGGGGCCCAAATAAGATCCAGATGGTCATGAAATTCCAGTCATGCCCTTGCACGCCCACTGCTGCTGTGCCCCAGTGCTGTGAGCTGCCCCCTTGCTTCATATCACACACTGGGAGGCTCAGTGTTTGAGCTAACCTAATGCAGGAGGAAACCAGCCAGAGTGCCAGGGAGGATGCCATTAAAAAGACAGGCCAGGCCAGGGCCAGGTTGACAGACCCTATTGACAAAGCCCTACATGCGTCGGGAAGCTGTTCCCCGCCTCCTCCGCTCCTGCATCCTGGTGAAAAACTGTTATATCATACCACTGTCTCCACCACTCAGGGTGGGACCCTGCTGACCAACAGCCTTTCCCAGTAATGTCCCGCCAGAGTGCCCACAGCGGGATGGCTGCCCCGGGGCCCCAGCCTGGAAGGTAACGTCTGCCTGAGACATCCCTCCAGCCTTGTCACTCCCATGGGGCCTGCGGCTCTCCCTGCCTGTTCCTGAGGCTGTTGGTCGCTGCACCAGGACCAGGAGTCAAGACAGGCACTGACATTCCCTCTGCTCCCCTGAGGACATGGGGGCTGGGGAATGGATTCTTCCTCTCTCTTCCCCCTCCGCTCCCACTGCTCGTCTGATCTCTCTTCCTTTTTGCCTGCACCTTCTGCCTGCTCCTCCTGAGCCCGCCCCCAGCATCACCTGCCATGGGCAGCATCCGGTGGCACCTTTGGGGAACTCTAACTGAGCGGGGCCCCTGGCTGTGAGAGCCACTATCTCTGGCACAGGGGGTGTAGAAGCCCCTGAGACCAGGCCTGTGAGCTGCTGTTCTGTGGGGTCAGCACAGTGAGGGGCACTGGGCTGATGGGCCCCCAGCAGGTGCGGGCTGCAGTCCACCCTAACTACAATGCAGGCACGGGGGCCTGGACCACGGTCATCAGCTGGTGTCTGTGGAGCTGGGGGCAGCCCTAGGTGGGAGGGGCGTTTAGCTGATGTTGGTGTGTCGAGCTGCAGCGAGGTGTCCAGGAGCACCCTGGCTGGGGCTGATTTGACCCACTGGATGGAGGGAGAGGTGGTGGCAATGGCTGTGTCTTCCCACCAATGTCCCCTCCTCTCGCCAGGGCTGGGATTGGGCCAGG